AAAAAAAGCTCGTTCTTATTTCCGGCCATAATATTGTTATTCATCAAGGTTTCTCAGACTAAAGGCTAATAATCGTACATCAAGTCAATCGTACACCAGCAAACCACATGAGAGAAATAAGATAACAAAGGGATTTAAAAGCCGAGCAAATGAAGCATTATCGCATTTTGTGCATGCATGCGATTCTCTGCCTGTGGGAAGACAATGGAATAAGGAGCCTCCACGACTCCATTGGTGACCTCAACCCCTCTCTCTGCAGGCAAACAATGCATGAAATAGGCTTTTGGGCCAGCCAACTTCATAAGAGCTTCATCCACCTGCAATTGACATTCAAATAATTAGGTAATCGTGAATCCGTGTACTGAACCTTATACCAAAACTAAGCCCGAGACTTTCATTTACATCTAAGCAAATAAGAATTATGTTACCTGGAATCCTTGGAATGCTTTACGGCGGAATTCAGCTTCATCCTTTTGCCCCATACTGGCCCATACGTCTGAGTACACAACATCAGCTCCTATGACAGCTTCTTTAGGATCATTGATGATCTCTATCTTACTTAATCCAGCTTGTTCTGCCTTTAAAACTCTTTCTTTGTCTGGTTCAAACCCTTTTGGGCAAGCGCAGACAAAATGGAAAGGAATAACCGATGCCAATTCTAACCATGAGTGTACCATATTGTTCCCATCTCCAACATACACAACCTGAAGTTTGTTGGATCAGCATTAGTACAGATAACATTTTCTATACGAGCAGCTTACATGTATGCAAAAAAATAGAAAATGAGATCATCATAGACTAGATGTGCTTTATTTTGCCAATGAATTGAAAAGGATAGTATTGGGTTATCTACTGCCTAATCTACCGTGGACGAAAGATAAGGAAAGTGCATAATTGCATGCGGCGGGAGAAAAGGTTACCTTAGTCCCTTCGACTTGACCAATGTGCTCAATCATTGTGAGGGCATCGGCCATGATTTGGCAAGGATGGTTATGATCTGTCAGACCATTGACAACTGGTACATTCGAGTAGTTAGCCAAATCAAGAATGTCCTGCAAAACAAGTGGATTCAAGTTTGGTCATTCAGCTTTCCAAAATTAGAAGAAATTGCAAACTCAATCAAAAAAACGATTATCCATGCCACAAACAAGACACTAAAACACATGAGAATTTCGATCATTTTTATGAAATTAGAACAAGACATGGAAATGTTTGTACACTTCTCAAGACTGTAGGTCTTTTTACTAATCAACCAAAAAACTCACCAGCATACCTGATGAGCAAACACACGAGCCATAATGATGTCATTATAGCGGCAGAGAACACGAGCAACATCACGAGTTTCCTCTCTTTTACCCATCTGAATATCATCAGGTCCTAGATACAACGCATGTCCACCAAGCAAGAAAAAGCCAGTCTCAAACGATACACGAGTCCTCATTGACGGTTTTGCAAAGATCATAGACATAGACTTCCCTTTAAATGGTTGATAATTCCTTTCCCCAGATTTCAACAGGGCCTTGACCTCTGAAGCCTTGTCTAAAATCTTCTTTATGGTCGCTGTGTCAAAATCATCTATGTGAAGAAAGTCTTTCAGGTCAGATTTTCCTGCAGATAACGATTTAACAGTGAAAAGTGAGACCGAATTTCAGAAACAAAATCTGATCCGTTGATGAAATTGGTGGAATTGAGACCTAAAAATGGAGAAAATGAAACCCAGACCTTTCACATCGGAAGTAGAAGAAGGAGAAGTGACGGAGGAGGCTTGAGAGGAAACACGAAGGCGGAGGGAAGAGAAGCTCGCCGGGGAAGTGAGTGAAACGCCGGAGAATCTACGGAGAGAAGTACCGGGAAAGAAGGAAGACGAAGAGGAGAGGGAAAGAGCCGGTGATCGAACCGTAGAAACGTGAGAAGCCATAGCCGCCATTGTCGTTGCTAAGTTGTTTTGTTAGACTCTTTCTTTCTTCAGTGACAGTGTGCTGCTTTACCTTCTTTATAGCGGCGGAGACGAGATTTTCTCATATCAGAAATTTTTTATTGGGCCTTTACTTAAGGCCCATCTTTAGTGGTACATCACTACATTGTTTGTTTTCGTGCTTCAACAAACAAATTAATTCGTGAGCTTTTTAGTTAGAGAATTTTTGGTTAGGAGAGAAAAATATTCAAGTTTGTATATCTCTTCTTGTATAGCTTTCATATGAAAAATGTTAGGAGTAGAAAATCTTTCATTGAAGAAGTTACTCTTTTTTTTTAACCTTTTTTTTTGTAACATGTTGGACTTTAATAGTTGTTTGTTCATAATATCATACAAAAAAAATGTAAACAGATCACAAGGAGATGACAGGAGTCATGTGCCCTATACGTAACTATTTCAAAACCTTATAATTTCTTTGAACATTGCTACAGAAGAAGCAGCACAGATTCATCTGTTATACAAAGGCTTCAGGCGGCGCTTGCTCCGGAATCTGTAGGCACAAAAAAGCAACAAAATAATCTAAAGATTTATAATAGTTTTGGCAATGAATATATTTGCAATTAACTTTAAAAAAAAAAGGACTTTTGAGTAAATTACCTCCCCTGGATTCCATTTCTCCTTTAACCAGATGCTAGTATCAACAGAAGCAACTTCTGTCTGCAGCTCGGTTCTGCGAGGTTTCCACAAATGATTCAAGTAAGAAACGTATCAAGACATCATAGCATGTTCGATGACCTAACCTTTTTCGAGTGGTTTTTCGCGGTGGAATAAAACTGGAAATAGAATGAGCACTTACCCGGAAGATGTATTGGTGGTTGTGGCTATAACAGGAGAAGGGAAAGATGCAACAGGGGTATTGAAGTTGAATGCATTCTGATTGTTCTGGGAAGTGTTAGGAGCTGGAGTTGGAGTTATTGAAGGAAAGATGTTATTGTTTTGGGGAGCTGCGGCGAGACCGGGTCCAGGTCCAAACGATGCTGGTTTAAATATTGTTGATGGGTTACTCTGAAAACCAGAAGGACCTGTGATCATTTGGCAAAAGAGGTTTTAAAGGATGGAGTATGGGGCCTCTTGAGCAATTTTTAACTTTAAAAGTAGTACCTGAAGGAACCGGTTGAGGAGTGTTGACGCTGAAAGCATTTGGTTGTTGATTAAACCTTGCAAAGGGATTTGGAGGTCCAGATGAACTATGCGGAGGAAGGATGGGAATCGAAAGTTTAAGAAAGCCACATAAACTCAAACGACAGGAGAAAATGGAGAAAGCTCACAAAAGTTGATACCTGACTCCACCAACATTGGTATTGGGGAATGCGGGTTGTTGATCGAAGCCAGATAATGCCGGAGGGGAATTGACCTGGGTAGACGGTGGGAACATACTAGGAGTGGTTGTGGGAAAGGAATTGATCTGGCCAGATGGTGGGAAGATACTAGGAGTGGTTGCAGGAAACGGGCTTTGATTGACGGCAACAGAGCCTCTGTATGGATTCCGCAGAAAGGCTTCAAACTCGAGCATCTTGTTTTCCTGCATATTCCTCTCCCTCCCAACCTATGATGCACCGTTTTAAGTCAGCAAAAGAGGAAATCTCAACTTATGAGTAAGAAAGAAAAACTATACTATGGAAACGACATGTTAGTGTAAAGCATAATAAACATAAGAAAGGCTAATCTCACAATCGAGTGTAGAGGTATTCCTTTTTTAGCTTCTTCATATGCCATTAAACGTAGCTCTTCATAGCTGAGATCACCACTAATGTCACAAGGCAAACTACGAAAGAAGAAGAAAAACAGTTAGATAGAAAGATCAGAAACGTTATAAAGAACGAGAAAACATTAACGATGGTGAATAAAAACGAAGCAATACATACTGTTTCCAGTGACCGTAGCAAGTGAACTTCCACATGGGTCTCTCATTCTTAAAATCTTCTTGCATAATCCTCTTGCAAGCTGCAGGATCTGTGCATCTTTGGATAGTAAACCAAGACAGAAACAGTAAATTCCCAAAGAAAACAAACAGCTAAACTGATGATAGACATAAAACAATCATAATCAAAACATATATATACTCACTTATGTTCTGCCTGCTGCGTCTGTTTACCAGTCTGCTGAGCAGTAGCACCACCACCACCACCAGCAGATGAAGAAGGCGTTCGTGTCCATTTATTATCAAAAGGCTGAGTTTTCAAAAGCAATCATCATGTCAAGAAGAAGCACATTTTATCAAACCAATAACTTCATCTTAAAAGAGGTAAAACTAACAGAAACCTGGAATTGATTTGATCCATTAGAACCACTTTGTACACCAAATCCAAAAGGGTTCGAGCTCTTCTGTTGTTGTTGATCTCTAGATTTTGAACCAAACCCATAGGGATTATTGGGTTTAACTTGTTGTGGATGAAGAAATCTACAATTTTCCCCATACCTACAACTGCACAAACACACAACACCAAGAAGCGATCAAAGTTTCGAGATTCATTCAGATTCCATTTCAATATACATCATCATCTAATAAACATCGATTGTTTACGAAATCAAACCCAGAAACAAAGAACAAGAAAGCTAAACTTCTGCAGTTGAATCGAACTTCAAAAACAACAACACACAAGTAACGAATTGGATCAAAATCATCCTAAAATCGATGAGATAGAGAAGTTTACCTGCCGCTCTGGAAATTTCTACACAGTTCCTTCCTCATACTCACTGTTGAAAAACCTTCGAAACTATATATGTGTATGTATATGCGTCTATATATGTTTTGGTTTTCATAAACGGAAGCGTTAGATCGACGAAGAGTGTATAAACAGAAGGAAAAACTAGTCTCTGTGTAAATTACCTTTTAATCCTCAGATTTCATAGGGGTATAAACGTAAATCCACTTAAC